CCCGAGAATATCCCTGCGATGGTCGACGAGCTCCTCCGTCTGCAGGAGGAGGACATCGAACTGAAAACCGCCGATGTCCCTTCGCTCCGCCAGGGCCTGGTGGGGCTGCCTTGGGCGGACGCCGCGAAGGACGCACTTCTCGATCTGGCCTTGTGGGTACTGGAACTTTTCCAGAAGAGCGATCGAGGGCGTAAGGAGACCTGCCCTGAGTAGGACAAGGCTGAAGGATAACAGGACGACGCGGCGCCCTCCACATCCCGAAGCCAAGAACAGGCTGATCAGTCGGTGAGGAGGAAGACCAACACACGCAGCCCTCCGTCGTAGCTGAAATCGGGCGGCTACGACGAAGACTCTACCTATGGCTTCATCGTGATCCAGGGGGACCACCACACCATAGCCATGGGGACGATTAACGTCTTTAATAAAAGATCAAATTCGACCTGGAATTTAGCATAGCTAACAAACATGGCCGAGGTGGTCAATCTCAGAACCGCTTCGCCCGGTTGGCCGAGGAAAGCCGACAGAACCATCTTTGGGCCATATACGAGTGCATGGAGGGAGCTTTTTTCGCGGAGGACTCTTCTCCTGTCGAGGATGCCATCTAGGTCGCCGGCCCAGGACCCATGAAGGTGGACTTCGTGGAGGACCTCCCGCGTCGCTGGCACCCTCTGACCTTGGAGATGACAACGCAGGTACGACGGGGCGCACATGAAGGAGGAGTTTTCGAGCTTCTCCAGTGGCGAAACGCAGAGACAGCGACAGAGGGAGAAAGGAGGAGAAATGAACCAGAAGGGGGCGTCGAGGGGAGGTGGAAGGGTTGACCGACAAAACGAGTGAAAGGAGAGTAGCAGAGGAGAAAAGAAGGAGAGGAAGGACCGAGATGAAAAGCAGAACCATCGATTAAAAAGCGTGAAAGGAGGGACAAGGAAATAGAAAAACTGAATCTGCTGAACAAACCCAACCCCTTTCCTGTATTTCCAGGGTCCACAGGAAGACTCGTTCATGTGCCGGGTTATAAAATTCGCGAGAAAAGATAAAGAGAAAAAAGTGTATGAATTTTGCATGTGTTTAGGTGAGTGAATTTATATATATATATATATATATATATA